TAGGCACCTTCTCTTAGGCATCCTTTGTTCGCCCTCACTTGCCAGCTGACCCTGAATGCCAGCACCTCTGGGCTCTTCCCCCGCCCTGGGTGCTCTCCTCTCCCTTCCCTTCACACCAGGCGTCCTCATCCATGACAAACACGGATTGAACCTCCATGATTAGACTCTCATGTAGTTCTCACCAGAACTGCTCTTCCTCCCATCTTCCCATCCCTGTCCATTCTCCCAGTTGCTAGAAAGCTGGAAGAAGACTTTGATCATTCATTTTCCCTCACCCTCCACAATTTACCTCCTTTGAAGTGGCTACTTCCAAGTATGTCTCAAATCGATCTCTTGATATCCACCTTCACTGGTCCCTGCTAGCAGCCACTCTCATCTCTCACTCCTGGAAGAGCCCCCTAAGTAACCCTCAGACTCCCATGCCTGGCTACCCCCCAATGTGTCTTCACATGCCAGGCACAGTAAATGTTTCTCATTACCTATTTAAAACACCTCAATAGCCATGAGGGCATAGCTTTGTCACTCCGTTTTTTAACTGTTTTGTCTTTAGTACCTAAAACAGGGTATGGGACCTACTAGGGTGAATGGAGTAATTGCACTTAAGACAGAAATCCCCAGGGCCACCTAGCCTTCAGTGCTGTACATGGTCCAGGCTCTCCACTCCCTGGACACATCCCTCTTGTTCTTCCCTTTACTTGTTCATCTCCAATCACACCATCCTGATTTTGTTTCCCTAACCTCGTGTCTTTGATCACATTCTTCCCTTTGCCAGGGGAGCACCTGTCTGCTCTTAGATTAGCTGTGCTTTGGGGATTCACAGCTATTCACCCCGGGATAAGTATATCCAGGAGGGGGAGTAGATAGATACCAGCATACATACACTGATAACAAGGTAAGTACAGACCAACTAATTACCAGTTTACTAAATAATGCAGAAGAAAAACTTCCCAGAATGTTGGTACTCTTTCCTTGGGTTGCAATAAAGGAAAAGATATGAGCAAAAGCACAAGATTAAGGTGCCAGCAACCATATTGGTACCATTGCTATCCAATGGGTCATTAACCAAATGAGTTATTGGAGAACTAGTTCATGAACTAGACATAAGCTACCTCAGGGCAAGGGCCTCACTGGGCTCATTGTCCATCGTTGCATCCTTAGAGCCTATTCCAGAGCTTAGCACATAATATACAGAGAATGAAAGTTAATTAGAAAAATGAGTGGATGAAATTGACTTGAACACTCTTAAGAGATATGTCATGCCATTATTGTGGTTCAATGGAAAATGGTGAGCCTTGACTATGAAGGACTTTACCTGTTCTAGGCTAACAATTTTTTTTTTCTGGAGTTACTATATTTTTGCTTAAAAGAAAACCCACAATGATTAAAAAATATTAATTTTTTTAAAGTAGTTCAGCAAGTAATGTAGGACATGAGTGATAATAACAAATTAATGAGTTTTAAAAGCATAAAACTCCTGGTGTGCCTGGGTGGCTCAGTCAGTTAAGCATCCAACTGTTGATTTCAGCTCAGGTCATGATATCAGGATCATGAAATTGAGCCCCCTGTCCATGTTTAGTGTGAAACCTGCTTAGGATTCTCTCTCTCCCTGTCCCTCTGCCCCACCCCTTCCACTTGCACTCTCTCTAAAACAAACAAACAAACAAATAAACAAATAAATAAAATAAAAGTATATAAGTCCTTATAGTAATACAGTTATGTCATGTGAAAGCAATTGAAAATTTTAATATCTCTTATTTTGCCTTGATTGAAAACATCTGGGTTTACCTGAAAATAGGAAAATCTTACCCAGTTTCCTAAATATCTCAGGTAACGTACCAAATTTTGCATAGAAAACTAAAATTTACAGTGCATATTCTATCTTTGAAAACTGACCTTTTAAAATACTGTACAGCAATCAAATATTTAAGTCATTCATAAACTCATTTATCTGCTGAAACAAAATATCTTATTACAAGGATTTGGTGTAACATAGTTACAAACTGAAGGAAGGGCTTGTGCAAGAACTCTTTGAAAACCTCTTTCAGTAACATCCTCTTGTTCTTGTTACGCATTACCCCTTTTTTTTTTTTTTTCAATTGTCCCACCTGTGTACTAGAAAATCACCTTCGGGGGCGCCTGGGTGGCTCAGTGGGTTAAAGCCTCTGCCTTCCGCTCCGGTCGTATGCTCGGGTCATGATCCCAGGGTCCTGGGATTGAGCCCCACGTCCGGCTCTCTGCTCCGCAGAGAGTCTGCTTCCCCCTCCTCTCCCTGCCTGCCTCTCTGCCTACTTGTGATCTCTGTCAAATAAAGAAATAAAATCTTTAAAAAAAAAGAAAAGAAAAGAAAATCACCTTCGTTCCATGCACACATGTGGTTTTGCACTACAAATTATTCTTTGGCAGTCTAATTTTGAACGGATCCATTCACCCCACATCACTCCCTTCACACCCTGTAGACTGGGCCCCTGTCGCCACAGCTACTGATCGTTCGATCTTTCTCAGATCGTAAAGTGCCTGATGTCAAGTTCAGTCTATATAATTAGAACACTGAGCGTTTGGATGAAGAAATGCTTTATAACTGTACACGTTTATGAGCCAGCCACCTCTCCAAGGTTAAAGTGTAACACATCCTTCTTCAGTGCCCCCAGCTGTTTTTTTTTTTTAAATGCCCATTCTTCTTCCAAAGTATTTCTTGTCCCCAACAAGATCGTTTTTAGTAGTGATCTCAGCTTTTGGCAGTGGCACTGGAGGTGAACAGGATGCAGAATTCGTGCCATGGAAAAATGGTACCCCAGCGGGTTCTACTGAAATGCCCTTTACCTCCTGTCTCTAAGCAATCCCAGGTTATAGTCTTCCTTTCCAAGAGCAAGTTTATTTGAGATTGTAGAATTATCGAAGGTTTCCTTTTCAGTGGCTGAGACTGGAAGCTGAGAGTGGAATTGTAACATTAATATTGAAGGGCAGACTCTCTAAGACTCACTTAGAATGCATTTCTTATCCCTCTGGGTGAGACTCGGTGGTGACACTCTGGGGACCTTTCAGCTCATGATGAATCACGGTGATCTCAGCACTGCGGAGCTCTGAGCTGCAATCCCCGTTCTGCTTCTCCTCTGCTGAACAAAGACAGTAACACCCACCTCATGGGGTTGGCGTTAATACAAATGTCACGTATGAAACATGAGGCTGCCCCGTGTCATTCTTCATGAAGTTTGAGTGAGTCTCTCCCTGACCTAAACTGGGAGAAGTTATGGGCACATGACAGTTCTAGGTTATGATCTTATAATTTATTTCTGAGTGAGGAAGACTCAAGAATAGCAAAAACATGGCAGTAATCTGTTTAAGGAAAAACACTAATGTAGAAATTGCCTGAGCAATTTGACTTTGGATGATGTTAAAAGCCCTCTTGATTTGGTGGTACCCAACCAGATTCCCCTTCTTTCACTCCTGGAGATGGGCTACCAGTTTCTTCGGGTAATCAAGACAGCGTTTCTGACCTATAAAAACTCTGAAGATATTTGGAAGCCTGTTCTCCAAAGCTGTACCTTCACAAAGTCTGGCTACCCTAATCATAATTTTTGAGTTCTAGCCTGGGAGATAAAGAGGGAAAGGCTCCAGACTTGGAAACCTGCCTTTGGGAACATTCTCTCAGACCACTACGAAGATGTTCTCTCCTTGGGGCACTGGCCTCCATCAACTAATCTGAGGTTTGTCTTTTCACTCTCAATAGTGTGTGATACAGGACTGAAGTTCTTAATTTTCGCTTGGCCCAATTTATCATAAAAAGTATCCAAATGCCTAGAAATAAATTTAACAAAAAATTGTGTGTGTGTGTGTGTGTGTGTGTGTGTTGTTAAGAAATCACAAGTTCAGGGCACCTGGGTGGCTCAGTGAGTTAAAGCCTCTGCCTTTGGCTCAGGTCATGATCTCAGGGTCCTGGGATCGAGCCCCGCATTGGGCTCTCTGCTCAGAGGGGAGCTTGCTTCCTCCTCTCTCTCTGCCTGCCTCTCTGCCTGCTTGTGATCTCTGTCTGTCAAATAAATAAATAAAATCTTTAAAAAAAAAAAAAAAGAAATCACAAGTTCATGAGCATATATTTGTATATGACCTTCTAAAAGTTTTATTGTTTTGCTCTCAGAGTTTAAGTCCAGCTGGTATGAATATTTGTTTAGGTTCAAGACAGGAATCAACTTGAATTACTTTCCATACGCATTCCCAAATATCCCAGAACAATTGATTGAAAAATTTCTTCCTTCACTCTCAACTTTGATGTGCCACGTTTGTTATAGCTATGATGACCATATGACTTAATATCCAAACTGACTCAATTTTCAGAGTAAAAGAGGACACTGATATCAGTTAGAGGAAGTCTCAATTTAATTAGGTATGTCCTGTCACCTGGTTCTTCTTCCAAGACTGTCTTGGATATCCTTGGTCATTTACATTATTGTATAAATACTAGAACCACTTAACATGTTCCACCAAAAATATCTGTAGCTTATATCTATTTCTATGGTATTTGTACCATATATCTTCTCCATTCTTTTAAACTCTATTTTTATGTTATAGACATATTTCCTATAAACACCAGATAGTATTTTTTGCAATCTAGCCTAAAAATCTTTGTCTTTTAACTGGCACAGTTAGCCAATTTGCATGTTAAGTAGTTACCTAGATATTTGGTGTTTAATATACCATCTTGGTATTTCTCATGCCTGCTCTATGTGCTTTTCTCTCATCTTTCTTCTTTTTGGATAGTTTATTTTTTGTTATTCCCTTTTTCTCTTTGGTTTTTTTCACAGTTATAAACCCTTTCACTCTTCTTCTAGTGGTTACCTTAGACTATACAACGTGCACCCCTGACTTATCAAAATAGAATGTAATTGTAATTGTGCTTCTGTTCTATTCTCTTCCCAGACAATGTAAGGACTTTAGAGTTTTTACCTTATTTCCTTCCAGAAGAAGAAAACAAGGAAGGAAAGCTTTCCAACAACAGATTTGCCAAAATGTTTTTTTTATTCTGAGGACTGTCGTCATGGACATCAGTTCCTTCAGGCCAAGAACTCCCTGTTTTACTCTTGGCTTGTCTAAGATCCAAGAGAACAAGAAGGGGACTGAGATGAGTCTGGCTTATAGAATCTTAGGAACATTTATTAACCAGCCAACTAGTTTTGTGGGAACAAGAAAATGCAGCATTTCAAGCCTCATTCCAAGCAGTACATGTATATCAATCAGAGTCCGCCCCCCACTACCCCCCACAGCCTTCATAAAGCCATCCCATTGCCACAAATACCAGTATCACATGATTGAAGTCAAGAACCTTCATCAGAAAACATACAAGAAAACAGTTAACAAGTGAGATGTTGGCACCCCCTCTTTGCTTAATAGTCTTTCCCACTATATTATTCTTTCTGTCATTTCTTAGCATCTTTTATGATAAGACACCTACTTTTTGACTCCATGTAATCCCACACCAATGCCACATCACATAGGATAAAGGAGAATGAAAAGGGGAAGGCAGGCTATCACCTGGATAGCCTGGTGGCTCTTTAACAGTTTGAAAGAATAAGAACAACCACCAAAAACACTAATCTTGTAGAATAAGGGATCAGAAATATTGGCCAAGGCAATTTTGTCTTTATAAACCAGGCCCTTAATTGAGGCCCTATATTTCCACTGAATATCTATTTTTAAGCCTCCTTTCTACAATATGCGTCTCTCGATTTGGGCTTTCAAAATTCTGTGCGTAAAATAAATTACAGAATTACCATGTTTCCTTTGGCTATCAGGAGAGCATAGCAACTTCATACACTACTATGTTGTCAAGAATCTAACACATCTCATTTCTTGATTTTTTTTAACTTGCATTCAAAAGCAATCACTGGACTTTGTCAATATAAAAAAAATAGGAAAATAGGTATCTGTGCCAAAGTTCATGGGTGTATGTAAACAGGAAAGAGCTGAACTTACAAGTGAAATTAAAGATCTGCTTAGGGATGGTAGTGGTATTGGCAAAGATGTGTGAAACTTGACACCATTAAAAGTGCAGCTAACAAAGCTCTAAGCTTGACCTCGTATTTCCAGTCTCTAAGGGGAAGAAAGTCTGCCCAAGAACAGGATGTGAGATGAGGGATTGTGCCGAATGAAGAAAATGAATGGATGGTCAGCAACAAAGTTCTCCTCGTGCACCAACATGGTAAAGGTGGCAATGCCTGCTGTAGCGGCTGCCGCCTCTGTGCCCTCTTCATTCACTTCCACAAAGGACTTGTGGGCAACTTTTGATATGAAAAGATCCCTGGTTCCTGACATGCCAGACAGATCAGCCTTGCGACTAAAGAGATCCTCTATACCCAGGTGGGCTAGGTGGGAGTTGAGATCATAGCTCTCCTCCAGTTTGAACTTGGGCAAGTGGACGTTGACTTCAACCCAATCCAGATTCTCAGCTTTGGTCCACTCATGCAGTTTTTCCAGAGTCAACTGTTCCTCAAGCTGGAATGAGAATGGGCAAAAAGAAGAAGTGAGAACAATTTTACATAAGCAAGCTAGTAAAACATTATTGAAATGAACGGACGGATTATATCAGTTGCTAATTAGTCTCCTCCGTGTCTTGTCCCCAGACAGATTCCATTTGGAAGATGTCATTTCTTTCCAGGGACTGGAGATAATATAACAGAGCTGTTCCCTGATAGTAGCTGAAAATGTAAACTTTGGGCTTTGGAGTAGTAACGTCCATGAGCCACTTGACAAAAGAACGACAAAGCACTGGAAAGGAAAGAACCATCCGTAAGCACACACCAAGCACCGGCCACTACCACACAAGGCAGGTGGATACAACCAGAAGAGACACGAAGCATGAAGCTGGGAGCTGTTACCTTCTTGAGACCCGTGGACCCATCCTCAATGTCATCAGGCAACAGGATAATCATGCTGAGCTCTTTGCCCCGGTAAGGTAGTTCCAGCACACGGCACTTAAGGTCCTGGATGTAGCCAAATGGGAGTTTCTTCTTCTGATACATCATTTTCACGGTTTTTTTGTCTTTCTGAAGAGTTGAAAACAAACAAACGAACGACTCACTCACATTTTTATCCCCATTCTCTTCGAGCCAAGAGTAAGTTTAGGCAGTTACCTCTCTCTTACCTTATTCAGTCGGAATGGGGTATCCGCAGTGTCTTCCTTCCGGAACTCATCCTCCCAGCTGCCTTTGAAATAGATGGCGTTCACCAGCACGAGTTTAGTCATGCTGTCAACTGTACCTGCTTGCAACAGTTCTGGAATCTTCCCTAAAAAGATAAAGTTAGCTTTTTAAAAATAAATCCATCTATCAGAATTCCAAATTGGAACTAACATTTGATTAGCACTGAAATGCAATCCAAAAGCAAATTCTGTACTTAATTTTTCTTTTGCGTGATATGAAGTTAGGAAAGCCCTATCAGCATGTTTCTCATTTAAATAATCCAAGTAAAGGCCTAATGAGCTAAAACAGCACATTGCTCCTTTTCTGGAGTGCATGGTAAACAATGAGCTTTATTTTGAGAATGACCATTCTTTTCCAGGAAAAAAAAATTGTCCTGAACGAAAGTATTTTTGGGCATTAGTAAATCACTTTTTCAAACCCTCTAAGTAGGAGCCAAATCTCACCAAAAAAAAAAAAAAAGAAAGAAGGAAAAAAAAGAAAAAGAAAAAAGCTTTTAGTACATATCCAAAAAGGACAGTTACTCCACTGAAACACTGGATATACCCTAGACCACAGACAGCGCTACCCTGAACAACTCATTGTATGGAAGACAGGTGTTCTGCAGGTGCCCTGACTCCTCCCATGACTAGGTCAGAGACAGCTGTGCTCGACAGTCCCAGCTACCATCCCTGATTTCTTTTTTTTTTTAAGATTTTTTTTTTAATTTATTTATTTGACAGACAGAGATCACAAGTAGGCAGAGAGAGAGGACAAAGCAGGTTCCCTACTGAGCAGAGAGCCCAATGCAGGGCTCGATCCCAGCACCCTGGGATCATGACCTGAGCCGAAGGCAGAGGCTTTAACCCACTGAGCCATGCAGGCGCACCCCCATCCCTGATTTCTTAGACGAGAAGTGGACAAAAATTATTTATGACCACAGTGGTTCGTGAATATTCCTTCACAAGTATTAGCGTATTTCTTTCCATGTGTATATGAAATAATCTGGGCCAGGCTAGATTTCCCTCGAATTTTTTTTTCGCTTTATGCTACATTCAAGCTGAGTTTTCATTTTAAAACGGACTTTTGGGGACTTATGAGGGAAAACCTATTTAGCTACTTCAGTTAAATCATGCTGACATTTCCTCTGTGAAGAATTTTCTACGTGTGAACACTGTCCAACCGGGTGGTGCAGAGTTCATGCCCAGGATGAACCCCAGGATTCCCAGGGTCAGGATGAGGGAACAGGAAAAAGGCAGAGGCAATCACATGCAGGTGGGGAAGCTGGAAGGAGGAGGAGAACGTGTGTAATGATTACATTCTGCCCTCTCTCTTACCTTCTGTCTGCCCTTTGACCCACTCATTAATCACCTTCCTTGAATCTTCAGAGGCTTGCTGAAAATCCACACTGGCCAATTCAGCACCATACATTTTCTGAGTTGAAGCTAGGAACTCCTGTTTAAAAAAAAAAGGTAATGTCATGAATAACTCCTACTACATATAGAGATAGTTTCCTAAAATCCTTTAAAGCAGAAATGGTCCTAAAGGTACAAATTGCATTATAACAACAACAACAAAAAAATTCTAACTTTATACTTTTTTTATTATGGTTAAAAAAAACCCCACAGAACACTAAATTTTCCAACTTAACCATTTTTTAATGTATTGTTCAGTAGTTTTGGTGTTGTGTAAAATTTACCAATTCTTTTCCAACATTTGGCTGACATTTTCATAAATAAGCAAATACTGATTGTCCTTGGAAAAGAATTATGGTATTCACTCTTGCTTTAGCAAAACAGCCAGGATCGATCTTTTTCACCGTGAAGACTATAAGATGAAGCCATGTCAATTAATGGGAGTGCTGTCTGTCATATGTTTTCATTCTGTATCATTTTTCTGAGTTTTTATAAAAATTAAAACATTTCTATGGCTTGGTTATGCTAGAAAAAAGTCTGCGTTGTCTGAGTTTTTGAACAGGAAGTGCAAAGTACTTACAGGGAGGAAATTGTATGTCTTCTCTCCATATAACCTATTAGCAAGTTTCAGGATATAGGAAGCTCCACGTTTGTTGATATCAGCATTCAGACTCTGAAATTTTGAATGAATCTCTTCAACCATATCAAAATGAAGAGTCTAAAATAAAGAAAACGTTCCTTCTATAACATTCTTATTTTGAAATTATAAGGTGATTCCTTGGCATTTGCTTCCACCAAACTAATGTGGTTTTTTTTTTTTTTTACTGATTTTTCATGATCTGCAGCCCAATATTTTATTAATTTCTCATAGGTGAACAAATAATAGAGAATCCAAAATGTACAGCTTTGTGAGATACAATAATTACATCAGAAACTACTTTTATGGGGCGCCTGGGTGGCTCAGTGGGTTAAAACCTCTGCCTTCGGCTCAGGTCATGATCCCAAGGTCCTGGGATCGAGCCCTGCATCGGGCTCTCTGTTCAGCCGGGAGCTTGCTTCCCTTCCTCTCTCTCTGCCTGCCTCTCTGCCTACTTGTGATCTCTGTCAAATAAATAAATAAAATCCTTAAAAGAATAAAAATTAAAAAAATAAACTACTTTTATACTACTTTTTGTTATAATTCTAGTTCTACAGTATGAGTGATTAATAAACTAAGTATTTATACAAGTCTGCTTTTTGTCCCAAAGAAAATCATAAATAAATCATGTGCTTATCTTGTATCTAATATAATTTCACTGAACGTTCTCAGAAATAAACAGAAAAAATAAGAAACATGACCCAGGCAGGAACTCAAAGTTACTATAGGCAGAGGGGGAATATTTTTTTTTTATTATACTATTAGTATCAGTAATTCACTTACTTAAAAATAACTTCTTTAAACTTAATATTCAGCAAAAGTTTAGTTCCTCATGTATCAGTTACAAATCAAGAGTCCCTTTATGATTTTATGAGGGCTGAGCTGGTTCCTTGCTTTTAAGACACAAGGAACAAACCTCTACAGTGTACAAAGTCCACTTACTCACCAAGATACGGAATGTTTCCATAGTTGCTGCGATCAATCTGCTTCAGGGGAAATAGGGGTGAGGAGGACCTTGAAACTATTCTTCGCTGAAGGCATAAAGAAAGCCTCAAAATAGGAGCTGACAGGGAGCCCCAGAGTGGCTCAGTCCATTAAATGTCTGCCCTTGGCCTCGGGTTCTGATCCTGGATTCCGGGGATCAAGCCCCAGGCCAGACTCCCTGCTCAGCAGGCAGTCTGCTTCCCCTCTCCTCCTGCTTCTCCTCCTGCTCCTGCTCTGTGTCTCTCACTTATTCTCTCTCAAATAAGTAAAAAATATTTTTTTAAGATTGTATTTATTTATTTGACAGAGAGAGATCTCAAGTAGACAGAGAGGCAGGCAGAGAGAGAGAGAGAGAGGGAAGCAGGCTCCCTGCTGAGCAGAGAGCCCAATGCGGGGTTCGATCCCAGGACCCTGGGATCAGGACCTGAGCCGAAGGCAGCAGCTTAACCCACTGAGCCACCCAGGTGCCCCATAAGTAAAATTTTTTAAAAACAGAAGCTGGTATTAACCTGCAGGGAGTCACTAAAAATTACTACCAGAGGGTAAGAAAAAAAGAGGAGCTTTGAAAATTTTTAAATGCTTTCATATCTGCACTGATGTAGAGGATTGGTTCTCCATAAAGTACAGTCATAGAGGCTTTGCAGCTGGAACAGACCATAAACTTGAATCCAGGGCTAGACCTTTCCTAGTGTCGGCTGCCCTGTACTTTATGACTGGTACGTCAGAAAGCCCTTCCCTCTTGGCACTCCTTTCCCCTAGATTCCAAGGGAAGCCAGGGTTCCCCTCTTGGAATGAAAGAATACCCAGCACGGAAGTGGCCTCCACCCCCACAAAGGACAGGAGGAAGGCTGGGCATCTGCTTCTCCTCCTGGGAGTGAGAGAGGGACCTGCCACACCCTCAAGGGCTTGGTCCCCCACCCCCAGCCACTCCCTCCCTGCGGGGCCCTCCCACTCACAAAGGCACACTGTGTCACAGCCCACAGAGCCACACTTGGTGCCAGGCCCAGGGCAAGGCGGAGGCAACACGGAATCACACACTTGCTTTGTACCCTCAAAAGGACACCACTGCCAACTTCTCCACTGTGGAGCATTTCCTATGTGTCATTATGCTCAAAAGTAACATTACATAAACAGGCTCATCACATGCAAAGCAGAGAATGGAAAATCCTCGTCCGGGAAGAGATGTTCTGGCTTACAGGAAAGCTGTCATGCCAGAGGCACACCACAGGGCTTTCATCAGCCTTCCTCACTGCCCTGCCCTCAGCCACATAAAAAACAGGGCCTGGCACAGAGCAGGTGCCAGGTAAAGACTTGATCATGAAGGAAAGCCTGCATACAAATGGATTGTTCTTGGGGCTTCTTCTGAAATTCTGACCTCACAGTATATGGTTGAACACAGAAATACAGTTTTAGAAACACACCGTTAAGAGGGATGCCTGATGGGGCACCTGGGTGGCTCAGTGGGTTAAGCCTCTGACTTCAGCTCAGGTCATGATCCCAGCGTCCTGGGATTGAGCCCCACATCGGGCTGTCTGCTCAGCAGAGAGCCTGCTTCCCTCCCCTCCCCGCCATCTCACCCCACCTCCACCCCCCGTCTGCCTCTCTGCCTATTTGTGATCTCTGTCAAATAAAGAAACAAAAATCTTCAATTAAAATTAAAAAAAAAAAAAGAGGGGTGCCTGAGTGGCTCAGTCGGTTAAGCGTCTGCCTTCGGCTCAGGTCATGATCCCGCAGCTCTGGGATAGAGCCCCTCCTCAGGCTCCCTGCTCAGCAGAAGTCTGCTTCTCCCTCTGCCCTCCCCCCCACCCTTCACACTCTCTGTCTCAAATCCATAAATAAAATCTCAAACACATACACACACACTGTAAGAGCTCAAAGGCACAACCTCTCAGTACAGACTTGACATGAGCAAGGAGACTCAAGGGAAAGCGGGCTGTTTTTGTTCGGTTCTGCTGACCTTGGACACCTGTGCTGCAGTGTTGCCTCGAGTCCCCAGAAAGATCATGGCCAGTGCTGATGAAATGCTGAAGGGAGAGATGAAGATGTTCCCAGTAGGATTGTCCTTATTCAAAGCGCGGAACAGGTCCACGGCGAAATGGGTGTTGGCTGTGCTCAGCTGCTCCATGGTGAAGGCTGCAACACAGAACAGAGGGCCCGCGCTGCCCACCGGCCACTGCAGCAATCCGCATCTCCCCAGCTCCTCCTCGGCGGCTGTCAACCACCCTGGAATGCCCTGAAAGGCCTTGCAACTTGTACTTTCTCTTTCTCACTTTATTTTTAGGTGCACGCATGTGGGACTGGGGATGACCCCCGCAGGGTCCAGCTTTGTAATTTCACCAAGGGATTTAGCAGGGACCCAGGACTAGGGCACCCTAAAGGGCTCTGACTTCACAGACAGGCTGAGGAGGGGCCCACACGGAGCCTTGCCTACTAAGTTTAGAAGCACACACATTGCTGTGCACCTTTGGTTCAAGTCTCTGATTCATCTGGGCAATGAATCCACTGTCCGTATTTACCTGCAATAATGTGTCTACTAGAAAATCATTACTACCTACCTTGCACTAAAGCAAATTCCACTGAAGTAAATACAATTGTCCTCATTATTGAGATTTAGTCTAACGCTTCCACAGGTTAAGAATCGCAAGTCTCATAGCTTAGTTTTGGATGTGAGAGCTTAAAAACACAACACAGGTCCCAGGGTGTGGCAGGGCAGCCGGACAGGAAGAAGGTGATAGCTATCCTCTCTGTCATTCTTGCAACAGTTAGGGGAACCTGGCCTTAGGTCTCAGCTCAGCCACTGACTTCTCTTAGAGCCTTAATGTCCCCACAGAGAGGCCAGGAAGACCACCAGCTGTGCCGGCTGCCTAGCGGGTAAGGAATTAGCTACATTACTGTTAACTGATAAATCATCTCTCGGATCTGGCCTTCTTTCTCTTCCTCCTGTGGCAGAAAGGAGAAGCAGGCTCCTCGGGGCCGCGCTGCCAGGAAACTGCCACAAACAGCTCAGGCGAGAAGGGAGAACAGGAAGAAAAACATTCCGATCCCGGGTCCTACGGACTCCAGCCGCCACGCACTGACCTCCGCCCTCGCGGGCCTAGCGCCCCCGGCGCCGTGCTGGGGGATCCGGGCTCCCGGGGGCGGGGCGCACGGCGTGGGCTGCGGCGTCCGGGGCGCAGGGCCAGGGGCTGCGCAGGGAGCAGTCCGCGCGCAGGGGCAGGGGCTGCGGGGATCACTAGGCACCCGGGGATCACTAGGCACCCGGGACTTGGCGCCTATGGAGTTCCGGCTGGCCTGTTCCGCCCGGCCCACCTCCCCAGGACTCCCCGGCCCCGCCTTACCGGCTCCGCGTTCGGACAGGCTCCGGGTAAAGAAGCGTACGGTCCGAGGCCCTTATAGCTGCGGAAGGGGAGTGTCGCCCAGGTAGGCGGCGGGAGGCAGTAGGGCAGGGCCTTGGCCCTTCCCCCAGAGGACTTCCTGGGACTTGGGGCTTGGAGGCTTGGCCTTATAGAAGGGAGGTGAATGTGGGCTCCGCGCAGCGTCCTCCTTTCAACCCCTTTCTGAGTTCTAGGCAAAGTCAGATCCCTGGCAAGGATCTGATAGGCTATTTCTTACTAAGATGTGAATGACTGCCATGATTACAGTGTCACCTCTTAGAGGAGAGACTAGCACCGTTGAGTGCCATGCCATCTGTGTATGATATACTCCAAACTTGAAGGTTATTTGTTTTATTTATTTTTTGGTAGGGGAAGCAAAGTAGGGACCTCTTGTGTAGGACGCAAAAGGGGTTTCCAGAATAAGAGAAAACAAAGTCTGGTCCAAACAACATCCTTGCTGTCACTGTCAGATACCAAAGTGGGCTCCGCTCCAATACTTCCTTCACAGGTGATGACCGCATCAGCTGAGTCAACTCACACACCACACACCATGATAACTGACAGCTGTGAGCAATGAAGAATTGCTTACCCACTAGAGTAAAATGTGGACTCACCAATTTTTCTTCCTGTACTATTAAAACAGAAGGACTGTGGTTGAGTAGTAAAGGCAATAATTATTTCTGTGGGGTTTTTGTCTGTTCGTTTCTCCTTTTAAAATCCAGCTATGTAATTTCACCAAAATTTATAGCACCCAAAGGTATGAAATAATTCTGTATCCATGAAACTTCTCCCCTGCTTCTTTTTTTTTTTTTCAAATATCACCATGTAAAGGGGACAAAGGAAAATCCTATTGCTTTATTAGTACGGATAATATAGTTTGAATAGATTAGTAGATCTCTTTCAACACTGAGAACTTGTTTATAATGAAAGGAAGTAAGAAAGATCACAGTAATGACTAATAAAAATACTGTCCATAGTTATTTTTAAAAAGCAAGGATTTAATAACTGGGATTGTAGAGTGCTTTACAATTTACTAGGATAAAGAAATCAACATTTATGGAAAACCAATCGCAATTAAGTTGAAGCAGTTTGATCAAATCTGGCAAGCTCTCCACCAATTCTCACAAAACTAGAGAACAATTCAGTAGCTTCTGTGAGAAAGTCAAGAGTGCAAAGCTGTGCTGAAAAGTTAAATTAAAATCTGAAACACGTAAACCAAAAAAGAAAAGTGTTCTGAATTTTTATTTTTTTCTCCTGACATTTTACGTTTGTGCTTATCTGGAGTTAGTAGTAATCTGGGTCAAATATAAAATGAAACCATTTCCTAAATCAATACATTTACTGTCTAAGGTCAAGACAAAGTATTCTGTTGAATAACATTGGAGTGTCCTACTTGTGGCTTTAAACTGTGCATGGCCCTCTACCAAAGGTCACACAGAGATACCCTTGCACCCTGCTGATAGCACAGCCAGTTTGGACAATGCTTGGCCTATCTACTGATCTCAAATGCATGCTTACCCTAACTGTGATCCAGCAATTTCACCCCAGGATTATACCCAAGGAAAATGTTTGTGAGGGTGTGCACCTGGAAATACATACAAGAATGGTTCTAGCAACGTTATTTCTATGAGATCTGACCTGGAAACCAGCTAAATGCCCATCCACAGAAGAACAGATAAATTACTACAACAGAATGATATACAACAGTGGAAATGAACACACTACAGCAATACACAACAACAGGTCTGAATGTTACCAATACACTGTTGAACAAAAGACTTCAGACACTAAAGATTCTGGTTCTAGTTACGGAAAGTTCAAAAACAGAACTAATTCAGGGTGTTTGATGTCAGGAAAGACATTCTCTCTGGGGAGGAAGGAGTACTGTACTGATTCTATTTTCTTGTTTGCTCTGGCATTTGGAGACCTGATCCTGGAGTGTCTGCCCCTACCAGGGCTAGCTAATTCCTAGAGATAGTGAGTGGTTCCCGTGATAGCGAAACTTGGGTTTACAAACCCCACCAGTTCGGTGACCGTACTCTCAACTACCTTTTTCATCAAATTCTCACACATCAAGCCAGTACTCTCACTGCCCTAAATCACCCCAGGGCCAGGCACCAAACAGAGATCACCTGAATAGCCCAGAGCCCAGCAAAATTATTTAAAGCTCCCAATCCTAAGTTTTCTTAGTGTACCTACCTTGTCTTGCCATTCCTTCCTGTAAGAACCCCAGTAAAGGTTTGGGGCCACGCTTTGCCCTCTTGCCTTCTGCCTGGGGTGCTTCCCAAGGTCCTGCATGATCTGGCGTGGTATGGTTTGCCTTTTATTTCCAGGGTTCTATGAGTATAAACCTCCTTCATGACTATCATGTCCATGTCAGCGGTCCTACCCTAACTGACCAAAACATATCCCAGGTTCATTTTTAAACACAGGGGGCATGAGTAGGAGCAGCATGGGGGTGGGGAGGGCTCTGGGGTACTGATATTGTGGCATTTCTTGACCTGGGTAGTGGTTACACAGGTGTATTCACATTGTGAGAATGTGCTGAGTTGTACACAAAATTTCTGTGTTTTTCTGCATGTATGTTATACTTCAATAAAAATTATTATACTTTATACATATACTTTATACTTCAATAAAAATTATTAACAAGTAGCAACAAAAAATGTTGAATGCTAGTGATTATCTTTTTTCTGTCCCTCCTTTCTCCCCTGCTGCAGGGTCAATCAGCTTGAAGCTGGCTGGCATGTCATCCAGCCTGTCCACCCCCCTAACTGCGTCCACAGTTTGTGCCCCAGGGACCCAGATGAGCTCGAGAGCCTCCTGCCCTTCCTCTCTCGCAAGTCCAGCGACACACAGCTCCGAATCCAGGTAAGAAGCCCTTCCCATCTACTCCTGCATGTGAGCACGCTTCAACCACTACTTCAAGGGGCACAATAAAGGAGATGCAGTATAAGTTTTTCAAAGACCCATAGCCAGATTTACAAAACCCAGGAGAAAAATCTCAAGCAGCTCCGATAGGTGTTTGAGAACTAATTGTGTTTGTTATTGACTTCTAGGTTAATTGCACTGAGGTTTGAGAACATGAATTCTCTATTATTGTCATCTTTAGAAGTGTTTTCAGATTTGCTTTATGGTCCACATTATGGTCAATTTTTGTAAATACTCCTGTGCATCAGAAGGAAAGATATATTTGAAATCCATTAGGGGCAGTGTTCTATATATGTGGCCATTAGGATAAGAGCAATTAATCATTTTATTCAGCTCTCTACTTAGATCTACCAAGCATATTTAGCAAGACAGTCACTAAATATCAGTATTTCTATTGACTAGCGACAGATGGAAAATGAAATTAAAAGAAAGATATCACTTAAATTAGCATCAAAAAAATCAAGCAAGTGGAAATATGTCCAGCAAGACATATTTTAAAAAACCTCTATACAGAAAGCTTTTAAATATTATTAAGAGAATTTTTTTAGACCTCTAACTGAATAAAGCAATATCTCATGTTCACTGAGGGGAACTCACTATTGGTAAAGATGGCTGTTTACTTCTGATTGATTTTTTAAATCAATCCCAATCCTAATCAGCATTCCAAAGGAAGTGTGTGTGTGTGTGTGTGTGTGTGTGCACAGGCTGATTATAAAATTTGCACAGTGTTGTAAATGATCAAAACACTCTTTTTTGTTGTTGTTATTTATTATTGATCAAAACACTCTTGAAGGAGAACAAAGCAAGAGGCCATGTTCTGCTATATAGCAGAACTTTTAAAGCTGTAATAATTAAAACAGCCCAGTATTGGTGCAGGGAGAGATGACAGGTCAATGAAAGAGAATAGAGGGTCCAGGAACAGAGCTTTACATATACTGACATTTGATAGAAGTGGCAAGGTGTCAATGGGGAGAGGATACAATACTTAATAGGTGGTAGAGACAATACTTAATAGGTGGTAGTATATTTGAATATCCAAATGCAAAAAGTAAAGAGACAGGTGGGGCTGCCTGGCTGGCTCAGTCCATAGAGCATATGACTCGATCTCAGGATTCTGAATCTGATCCCCATGTTGGATGTCGAGATTACTTAAAAATAAAAGTCTTAAAAAAGGAAACGAGAGAAAGAAGAAAAAAATTCCTCACCTTACCCTGTACCAAATAAATCAGTTCCATGGATATTTAAGAGTTATGAAATACCATGTGAAGAGTAAAATTAACTAAACTTCTAGAAGAAAATGTAAGACATTTTTCCATGACTTTTCAAAGAAAGCATTTAATATAAAAGAAGCAATTAATAAGTCTGACTACTTTAAAAATAAGAATTTCTGTTTATTACAAAGACAAATTAAGAGAGTTAAAAACATGAGTCACACAGTTGGATGAGAATTGAATGGCATATGATGGA